GTGTAGTCTCACGCTAGCGTGAACGCAATTTTATTCTTATTCTCACGCTTAAGTCAAAATAATTTTAATTTTATTCTCACGCATTATTTTATTTAATTTTACTTTTTAGGTGTCGTGTCATTTAATTTGATTATTATTTGATTATGTCATTTGATTTGATTTTGCAAATGTAATAAAATTTACTACCTAATAATAAAATCGAGACTCTTTTACTGCAGCCAAACCAACCCAAACTCAACAACACAACCCAACCGACCCCGCCCCATTGCCCCCCCCCCGCCCCATTGAGCAAAAAACCCAACTAAAATGGGCAAATTTATGTTACGATAAAAATAAAACACTTTAACAAAGGAACAACAAATTTATGAAATAAAAAAAGTTCGACAACTTCTGGTAGATTTTATGTTACAATAAAACTAAAACAAATTAACCAACCCAACCCAACCGAACACTGTTTAACAAAGAAACAACAAATTTATGAAATAAAAAAATAAAAAAAGTTCGTGGAATCGAACCCGGGACCTCTCGCATGCCAAGCGCCCGCCCTACCATCGGAGCCATCTAGCTTGTTGTCAAATATTTAACCCTTAAATTACTACGATAGATTTTGTTACGTAAAGTACTGAATGGGGTCTTTCAAGGACCCCATCTGTTTTTTAATATAATCGTGTTATTTTTCCTATATATTAGGCACTAAATGGGATATTTCTTATTTTTTTCCAAACTTAATTTTTAGTACCACGTTTAAATTCTAGACAAAATATGATGTTATTGTGGTAATTGCAGAACCAATGTTTCGTTAAAATCACCTATTTATGTTATATCTCCAAATTATAATAAAATATGTAACTTTTGCGACATAAATAATTGTTCACTTATAATGTAAATATATTTAAAAAAACCAATATTAAACTAGATGAAATATAAAAAGCATGAAATCAACTCTTTATAAAGAGTTGATTTCATGCTTTTTATATTTCATCTAGTTTAATATTGGTTTTTTTAAATATATTTACATTTTGTTACTTAAAATGAATTGTAATTCATGTCCTGTAATTGGATTCTCTGTTGGGCAAATAAATACATTATTATTATTATTATTATTATTATACAGATTTTACTAAAACATTTTAAATATAATTTTAGCGATTTTGGTTATCAGTTAAGAGTGAAGTTGGTAATTTTTTTTCCTTGTGGTTCTAGAACTATATATAGCTATAGCTATCATTTATTTACTTTTAAAAATTTACTATTTCACTGAAATCATATCAAGAATGTTGTTATTGTTTAACTTATAAATTGAAATATTTACAAGTTGAAATAATAATAAATTGCCTGTCTATCTCGATGATCGAAATCGTTTGATCGTTGGCAATGGGGTGACTGATTTTATAATAAGTAAGCGCAACGCAGTAACCTTACGTGTCGCCGTCTCACCTGTTCGAGCTCGATAATTTCTCACACATTAAATTTCCACATTTTACTAAATAGACAATTTTTCCATTTCAGCTTTAATTTTATACAGAGCCAAATAACATGTTTTATAATCACATCTTGTACTTTCAAAGAAGTTTGTCCAACACCTTTACAATAAATCTAATTGGTTTTAAATCTTTATATTTTGTTACTTTTTTAGTATAGTTTTATGAAAAATAATTTATATAATAATTATGCATACCTAATTTGGTACCTACTACCTAAAAATGTACATTTAAATTTTAAATTTGAAAAGTAAATTAGGAAGGTACCTATTTAAAAACATTTATTGCATATACAATACATGTAAGATAATTTGCTAAAAAATAAATAATGGATCATATGGTATCATGTTGTAAATCCTGCAATTTAGGAGGATGATCATGTGAACTCATTAAATTATTTAAGAAAAATACATTTTTAATAATTGCTTTTGTTGATTTAAATCAAAATATTAATTATTTCTAAAAACTAATAGGTAGGTAGGTACTTAAAAAATAAATGTTTAATAATTATTATAATAATAGTACAGGTTCATGTAAAATCGGCAATTGGCCTCTATGAGACCTACAATTTATTTTTAAATAATATTTAAAAATAAATATAATTAAAAAATCCATATATTTCCCGAAAATACATTATTTTATATTATAATAAATCAAAAAAGAAAAAACAATTTTTTTTTAAATTTGGTATTTTTTTTTATTCGAAAATGGTTCATTTTATCGATGCTTAACAGGATCCTGTTAAGCATCGAGTACCTTTTTTACGTAAAAAACTGAATATTTTTATACTCTGCAAAATGTCTATTTATGTCTTTTAACAAAGACCTTATTTGTATTATTATTATTTCCTTTACAGGTTGTTTTTATTCAAATAATTCCTTTTAGAGTTATAAAGTTGTGTGCCGTGAACGGCTAACAACCAGTTAGTTAAAGCTCAGTAAAATATGACAAAGCAGGTAAACTAAACTAAAGTATACACGAGAAAAAGGAAAACAAAAAGCGTGAATGAAACCAGACGTTTGCGTACGAAACAGGACCGAAATGGACAAAGGAAATGCAGGCAAACCGAACGCGGATGAAGGCAGAGGTTTGCAATTAAAAGCAGATGTTTGCAGATGTTCGCGGATAAAAGCAGATATTTGCGAATAAATGCAGATGTTTGCGGATAAAATCAGAGGTTTGCGATTAAAATCAGATGTTTGCGGATAAAATCAGATGTTTGCGGATAAAAGCAGATGTTTGCGGATAAAAGCAGATGTTTGCGTATAAAATCAGATGTTTGCAGATAAAAGCATGTTTGCGGGTGAAACTGTATGAAAGCAGATGTTCGCGGATAAACTGAGATGTTTGCGGATCAAAGCAAATGTTTGCAAATGAAAGCAGATGTTTGCGGATAAAAGCAGATGTTCGCGGATAAAATGAGATGTTTGCGGATAAAAGCAGATGTTCGCGGATGATTGCAGATGTTCGCGGATAAAATGAGATGTTCGCGAATGAAAGTAGATGTTCGTGGGTGATTGCAGATGTTCGCGGATAAAAGCAGTTGTTCGCGGGTGATTGCAGATGTTCGCGGATGAAAGCTGATGGTCGCGGATAAAAGCAAATGTTGGCGGATAAAAGTATATGTTGGCGGGTGAAATTGGACTAGGCAGACGTTTGCGGGTAAAAGCATATGCTCGCGGATAAAACCAGACGTTTGCAGATAAAACCAGACGTTTGCAGATAAAACCAGACGTAAGCAGACGTTTGCAGATGATTCCGGACAAATTCAGATATAAACGAAACACAGTGAAGACGGTTAAAAACAGATGATTGCAGATGATGCGGGGGTGCACTAACCGGACATAAAACACAACCAACCGGGTGTTCGCGGATATAGCGATGCGGACAAAAGCAGATTTATTCAGATGATATTTTTACCCGCTTTTATCTGCTTTTATCCGGCTTCGACGAAGAATTTATACCCGAAATCATCTGCTTTTATCCGGTTTTGACAAAGAATTTATATCCGCAATCATCCGTCATTTTCAGCAGGGTATTAAGTCCACTATTAAAGCCATATAGTATTAAGTCCATTTTATTCTTTATTTCTTAAAGTAACAATATCACCCGCACCATATTACTTTCCAGAAATAAAATAATACTTTCTTAATTTTTGTTGAAAAATTTATTTATCCCTTCTGGTTCCAAAGTTAAAAGCCTTTAAAACCTTAATTTTGCTCTCCTGAACAATTTCAAGAGTGTGACTGATTACAGTTTGGTTTATATAGATATATTCGTAAGTAATATCATAAGAGCATTTAATTTTTCCGAAAAGAATCGAAAAAACACGTTGCTAAGTAATGTTTTAACAAAAAGCATGAGTGCTGGTGGCAACAAAAATCCGAGTCGAAGAGGAGGATTTTTGCACCTGCACGAATGCATTTTGTTAAAAAATATTAGGGGAGAGTGGGTAGAGTCTGGACACTGGGAGACAATGGACAATGGACGAATTTCGCGGTTCCAGTAAAAATTTCAGGTTGGTTCTACCATTACACATCGTCAAGTTGGTAAGGTATCAAATAGTGGTAGTGAAATAAGTTTGAGTTTAGCTGTAGAAGAGGTAAGTTGGAAAAGTTTATTTTCGAGTTTTTTTCATGTAATATTTTACTTTCCCCTTGTAAGCTTTTCTGCCCAGACCGTTGTAGATAAATAATTTAAAGTTACTACATATTAAAGCATGTATAAAGCATGGAACTTTTGTTATATCCTTACTTTATTCCGTTGCTATATTTTGAAATTATGAACATTTTTTTTGTTTCACATCATGTAGGGAGAGTTTGGACACACTGTCTAGAGTTTTCCTCTATTGTCCAAACATAGTCCCGGCACTTCGTTAGCAGAATATTGCAAAAATTAAACCAAGGATATACAGTCAAATTCCGAAGGCAGTTTCTATCATACAGATTTAAATAAACACATGAAGATGAAGCCTTGGTGGATTTTAAGGATGTGGTATTGGTTCTTCCCCCCCACTGACGGAGTTCGATTCCATAACATGATTTACTTTAATTTTAATTTGTCGCAATTTAGTATTGAATAAGTTTTGCTCTGATTTTTTCAATAAAAATCCTAAATTTATAATATTTTTATAGTGTCCAAATGCGTACGTTGTCCAGAATCTCCCCGTATGTGGGGTGACTTTGGACAGATGACCGAAAATTTTCAAAAATTCGTAGCAAACCCATCTTACGGTTTAAAGTGCACCTATTTATCTCTTTGCGTTTTCAAAAGTCTACACTATTACCTGAAACTTTGAAATTAGAAATAATTACATTTCTAAGAGACCCAGGCAAAAAAATCTAAAAATTGTCCAATGTCTACCCACTCTCCCCTACTTAGCATTGTGTTTTTTCGATTTTCTTCACAGGAAAAATTAGATGCCCGAATGGTATTTGACAAGACTATTTCATGAGTAACAGTTAACAATTAAAATATAAATTGCAATTTTTGGTGACAACAGCTGTCAAGTTTTGCCGCGGGTAAACTCGAATAAACTGCTGACAGGTGCTGTCACACAGTTTTTTCACCTAGAAACCATTTGTAATTCAAAATTGCGCGTTTGTGATTGGTGGAAATTAAGACGAGGGAAATAGTCAGATATATCTGAACATCCAACCGAATAAATTAAAAAGTTACCTAATTGTGAATTTTTAAACAAGGGTTGAAATTATAATTTGTATACAATTAATCTGGGCTTTATAATAATTAGATACAGATATATCAGACAAAACTTACTTTACTTTAATTGATTTAACCTTGATTAAAAATTTCAAGTTCAAATGCACAGATTGAAAAAAATGTTAACAACCTTTGCATATTTTTTTTGACAAAATACGTGTACACATAGCTAAAAACTATTATATTTATTGGGTTGTCACATTAATTTTTCAAAATGTACAGATTGTTCAGAAACCCGTTAAAACTGGATCTTCAAAAAAATTTCTAAAGGATATATATTTCATAATATAATACAGTTACCAAAACAAAATTTTGCAAAATAATAAATTTCAGTTTAATTATTATTAATACAAAAACTTCAGTTCTGGTAAGTAACCATGAGAGCTTCTTGTGGACTTTTGTATTTGCAATCATCTTCTTTAGTTTCTGATTTACCAGTTGCCAAAACTGTCTTATGCAAAACTAAATGTACAATACTGCACATAACACCAAAGACACTAAACACTTGTAAGGTTTTCTGTCCTCCAATGTACTGGAACAGGATCCCACCTATGAAGCTTCCTACAGCAAAGCCTAAAAAATAAAAAATGTTATCACGTGCAAAAATAAATTTATTTGACAATTTTGGCTTGCTATAAAACAATATTAACTTAAGTAACTCTCTTTTCAACACATAAAAAATGTTTACTTACCCACACCATCATCCATACCGGCAGCTATTCCCTGCATGGTAGCAGAAGCACCAGGAGGGGCCAGTTCATTGGCGTACGCCACTATGGTGGTGTAAGTTAAAGCATATGTTGGACCCTGAAAGCAAAACTCGATGGGCACAATCCACCATGGAGATGATGCGATTGAAATAAGACTTAACCGTAGGGCGTAGTTGATAAAACACATGCTAAAGCAGTGGACGTGGCCGAATTTTGACAAAATTTTTCCTAAAATGGTAATTGAGTATGTTTTTATACAATCAAACCAAAACTAAAATGTTTCAAAGAGTTATTTATCTACCTGAAATTGAAAAGAATATAACTTCCCCGCCCAAAGTTTCAGCAGCAACGATTAATCCTTCCAATAGTTTGATATTGGTAGTATTGGTTTTCAAAGCCAAATCCTCCACATACCAAAATAAAAAGTATATAATAAGGCTGTCTAATATTCCTGCACATATGGCAAAAATCATAAAAGTAAATACACGTTTATTTTTCAGTAGCACGATAAATTCTTTGATGATGTTTTCTGGTCCTTTTATTACTGGAAGCTAAAACATAATAATACAAAACATTTCTTAGAGATGCAAAAAAGATATCTTACATTTAGTTTATAACATGCTACTAAATCCAAACATGAACAAACAATCATAACAATCAAAGCTGGCATATAAGATATTTTAGTATCAGAAAATAAATCCACAATATATCCAGCAATTAAAGCTGTTAGTCCAAAGCCTATAGTTCCCCATACTCTTTGTTTTCCATAATCATATTCATCACCTAAAAAGTTTTTAATTATAATGATTATCAAAAAATATAAGCTTTTCTTTCTTTAAAGACGTTTTGGAATACAAGGATTTAAAAATGGTTTACATACTAAAACAGGATGACGTTTTGAAGACCAAAGTCTATGTAAATCATCCTAACTATTAACGAAGACATGAAATTTACTTCTGTGTAAAACCGTCTTACAAAATGGGAAAATTTCGTTCGTTCAAAGTTAGAAAACCGTAAAAAAATTATGTTTGTTAGAACGGAAAGACCAACTTATTTCAAAACGGTTCTTATCCTTTGTACGGTAGAATAGCCACATTATATATTTACCGACCTATAACATCGAAACAAATCGCATCACTTATGGAATTAACAACGTTAAATCCGATTGATCCAAAAGACATAAATATCACAAACATCCAGAACGGCCAACTTTTGTACAAACACCCATTATTTGATTCGATATCTTCCACACATTTTAAATCGCATGTAGAGTTTAAATTAATTGTTTTGTTCGTATTTTGAGTGCAAAGACGAAAATCATCGTCTATTTTCGTAAAATTTGTCAACAGAAAATTGAAGGGATCTTGACTGCATTCTGATGTGCATGTTATGCTAATTGTCTCATTCTTGCACATGTTCAGCTCTTCGATTTCCTAAAATAGATTTCAATTAAAATATCGCTATGAAACATTGTCATCTAAGTACCATATACTGACTGTTTCGTTACACAAATCCATATGAGTTTTGTCCATTGTTGTTTCAAATTTCAACAAAACTCTTTGAGGTATCAGAGCAAGCAGTGCAAAAGACGTAGTCATAAATATAATAAGTGCTATGAATATGGTTTTTCTGAAATCTCTATATACATCAACTACCATTCCAAATAGTGGTTTTGCCAGTAGAAATAGAAATGGTAAAATTCCCGTCACTCCTCCCATTGCCACGCTTGATATTCCCATTTCTTTTCCATACACAAATAGTTGGGGGAGAATTGGTCCCATTGCTAAAATAACAGGGATTAATTAGGTACTACTACTACATAAATTTGAATTTATCCGTTCTTATTATTTATAAGGAAATAACGGTAGGTAAATATGTCTGGAGATCTCAGTATAATAAGGAAAAATTGATAAAAAAAATATAATAAAAAAAAAGTAATAGGAAAAAAACAAACAGCACTTAAAACCATATAGATAGATAAATTACTTAGTACTTACATTTTAAATATTACATAATCATACATAATCACTTAATCTAAAATGGCAACAGAAAAAAATCTAATTTGGTATACCCGGTTTCTTAGAAAAATGTGTCGATTTCTAAAGGGGGTTGTTTTTTTCAGTATTTATATAAAGTGTTTTTGAAAATGGCCACATACTACGGTGTAGGATGGGATTTTAATTTATTCATACTCGTATAAAAGAATCGAAAACAATTTTGTAAGGATGTTTTAAAAATGAAAAGTTAAAATTAGTTTATAATTGATAACGATTTAAAGTTTTAATTTTTGACAAAAATGCATAATATGAATATATTATGCACATATTATGTCAATTATGTTATCTCCAGGTCTCAGCAGTTGCTTTGTTTGTTTTGTTTCCTTAACAACCGTTTTTAATAGTAACTCAAAAACTGCATTTTGGAAAATTGTTTGTATTTTTTATACTTAAAATGGTCCCTTTCCAGCATGGTACCGTTGGTGCGCCATGTTTAAATAAATTTAAATTTTACTTAATGCTTCATATAGGCACCCCAATTTAAATTTTTTCGCATATATTCGATTTATATCGTCAAGATTTTTTGTAGAAATGTAGTTACTGAACAAATAAACCCATTTTGTGAACAACCTATATCCCAAAACCCAATTTTTGGGATCAAATATTCGAAAAATTATTTTTTTTTCAATTTTTTCGATAATATTTAAAATTTCTTCTGGCAAAAATGTTGTAAAGTATACTAAAAGAAGTAATTTATAAAATACGCACATAAAACTGAACTTTAAGTTTATTTATCTACGCCAGTGAGATAAGAACTTCTTATCCCACTCATTTTGAGTGAGATAAGAAGTTCATTAACGCACGCGTTTTTCTCTGCTTTTAACCAATCAAATAAAAAAGTCAAAATGTCAAAATGTCAAAATAACCCTTAATTAAGTCTTAGACAAAAATATTTACCGTTTATTTTTTCATTTAGAGGCGTAGATAAAAATGTGTACAATATACGTGTGATAACGCTTTATTAACGTACTTTTGCGATTGCCCAACTCGTGCTACGCACTCGTTGGGCAAATTTCGCATGCGAACGTTAATAAAGCTCTTATCCCACTTATATCGTAAATAACTATTATTTGCTGGAAAACAATTTTTAAAGAAGATTTTCCAAAATATTCATCTTTTCATATTCAACACCAATCTTTTTGCCGAAATCTTTGGAAAATCTGTAGAAAAAAATTGAATAGATAAAATAGAAATGTAGAAAAGTACAGAGAGTTTGATTTTTTATTTTGTATTAATTTTATTATTAAAAAACTTTTTTATATCAAAACATTGAGTAATCTGATTCATTGCTGGAGAATTTCATCCCTTCCACTTCTTCTCCTTTATTTTCTTGTTCTTCATTTTCATTTTTTGATTCATCACTGGAGAATTCCATCCCTTCATTTCATATATTTTTTATATTCATTTGATTTCAGAAGACTTTGACAGGGCCTTGGTTGACAATGAGATAGTTGCGTGGGCGTCGATAAGAGAAATCATCGTTGGATTTTTAGGCAAACATCGTTCTCCCAATTATGAAGGATCTGTGCGACGAATGTTGGATGTTTTCGCATATTTGGTCCCAAAAATTGGGTTTTTGGGATAAAGGTTGTTCACAAAATGGGTTTATTTGTGCAGTAACTACATTTCTACAAAAAAATCTTGACGATATAAATCGAATATATGCGAAAAAAATCGATTTATAGGTCTAAATTGGGGTATATGAAGCTCGAAAATACAAACGGCAATAAAAAAAAATTAGAGCTAACTTTTACAAACCCAGCGAGGGTTTTTCAGAAAAAAATGGTCCGGTGCGGTTTGATTTCGATGACCCGAAAATAATTATTGTGGCACAGTGATATTTGTAGCCTATTATAGACTCTACAGGCACACGATTTATTATAATTGAAAGATTATCTACTGATATTTTCTATTAATTTAGGTCCGAACTCTTTTTCCGGGCCGTGGCATACATTTGACGTTATCCCGAGGAATCTTAATATTGATATTGAATATATCGTTGGCAAGAAACGTCGAGCAATCGTCATCGCATGATCATCGCCAATTTTATTTTTGATTGAGGTTCAACTTCTACTTTCATCTTTGAGCCGCAGTAAAGGCCATAATTTGCTAGTTTAATAATGTCTGAATTAGAAAAAGCCACCTTTAATCTTTGTTAAATAAAAAAAATAGAATTACCTATATAAATTATCGCATTCTTACCATTTCTCGAAAACTAAAAATAATAAGTCAAATTTCTTTTTGGATCATTAAGTGGCGTAAAAATGCGCAATTTTTTTCTAATTTAACCAACAATGTATTTCTACTTAGCTTAGCCCCGAAAACGGACACTCTGTATAGAAAATCTTAAGAGACAGTTATAAAACTTGTTGAGTCTACGGATTTAAGCCTTAAAAAATTAAAAATGAAGCAGAAAAATAATAAATCAGGACGGGAAGTAAAGTATAGAAATGAGATACTTTTTAATAATAAAAATTTAAAAACATATAAATTTTTATGGCAAGTGCAGCAAAAACTCGACTTTCGCTGCTTTTTGAGCGATGTGAAAATGACGGATTTCTGGGGAAAGTGGTTTTATATAGATGCGAAATGCGCATATTCGCATTTCGCAACTCCTATTTCATATAGATGCAAACAATTTTAGGGAAATTTTTTTCTGACTTTGTGATATTTGCCATGGTATTTTAGGGACCTAATTTTCTCCCCAGGCGATATTTGCCATACTTGGTTAACATTTTCTATTTGTTGTTTTATGTAAATTGACTCTCTAAAAATGAATTAGTCAAAAATGACTAATTACTAGTTATTAGTGGCTGCTTTTTCACTTGTACCATGGGATACCATGGTATCGAAAAACTTAACACCTAATTCTTATGTAAGATTGTCCCCTGAATCCGAAAATACCGTCAAAAATTATGAAAGTAGAGCAATTTTTGAGATATAGTCAATTTCATATTAAATGGAAAATTGACTATATCTCAAAAACTTCTACTTTTTTAACTTTTGACGAAATTCGGATTCAGAGGACAATTTTACATAAGAATTGGCTGTTCAATTTTTTGGATACCATGGTATCCCATGGTTAACCAGTGGTGAATCACCATGTTCCAAGTGAAACAGCAGCCACTAATAACTACAGTTAGTAATTAGTCATTTTTGACTAATTCATTTTTAGAGAGGAGATTTTGTGTTTTTATTATGGATGAACAATTATACCATTGGCGACGAAGGCGTGCAATTGCGCTTACTTAGGCAGAATTAATTAATGGGCATGCGCATCACGACAAATTCGTGCGATTCGCAAAATATTGAATCCATCACAAGATTCCCGCCCCCCAGATTTCAAATCTTACGAATTCGCAGGATCTGTCGAAACGTCAAAACGCTTTTCCCGACAAATCAAATGGACCGGTCATTGGCCAATGAAAACATTTTTCGTATTTCGCATTTCGCATCTATATGAAACCGCTTTTAACTTTCTTATTTACAGCTGAAAAAAATCAGTTGTAAACGCAAAAGTTAACTTATTTAATTGTCTTTAGGATGAACTGAATTTTTGTTTAGGCCTTAACTTTACTATGATCTGCTCAAGGATGTATACAAACTAAAACCATTAACGCTATATCTTAAAAAGCAGTCAAAGTCAAATTTCCGTTGCGCTGGTAATAAAAAATAGTCTAAGTACATGTACTGTGTACACATCCCGTGGCGAAAGGCGGCAAACTTCTCAATCGCCGCTTTTCGCCACTCGATATGTAATCATGATATGTAATGTAAGTAGGTAATATTCCTTCTTTTACAACATTGACAAGGGGATATAATTTAAAAAAATTACTTACCACACATGAAAAAGAAGAAATGGGCCTTTATAGGCACAAGCTTTCTGTTGAGTTTCATGTTTCTTTTAACGACTGTAAAAATATAAATATATTAACTATACTAGGTAAGTAGATAAAGAACACGGAATAACTAATTTAGACTAATAAAATCATCACTATGTGCTTACTATTGAGGTAATATAAGTTTTAATCTGTTTTGACAGATAACAATTATAAGTATCATTAAATTTACATTGTATTAAGCAAATGTTTCGATAATTTTATTTAAACAAATTGCATATTATGCATAATTGTAAAATCGTCATGGCGATTTTTTTTAATCATCATTAGATATTAAATAAACAATAGGTCATAGCGCTTATATAATTATTAATATACAGGGTGTTCTACGGTAAGATCGACATAGATCTCGAGTAAGGGAAGGCTAATCAGGATCTGCTTTAAATTTTTCTCAGGTCCTCGGTTTCAAAGTTACAGGGTGAACTCTGATTTTCAAGTCATATCCTTTGAATGGATGTTTAGAATCGAAAATTTGGCATATTTATTCTAGTGCCGAAGTACAATAAGCGCTTTTTCGGGTCTATTCGAAAATTGCAGACTTGACACATTTAAAGTTGCAGGTTGAGTTATGATATTAAATAGTGCAATAACTAAATAGCTAAATAACTAAACGTAAACTTAATTTTTGGTTGTAGATTACAAATCCGTGCTTGGTTTAGCTGTATTAGGTCGAAATTCAAAGGTATTGAAAACACCCTGTATAAATTTAAACACCCTGTATAAATTTAAAAAAAATCTATTTGGCTGGACCCTCACATCAGTTCTTAATTTAAAAAAATACAAATTCTTACAAAATTTGAAGTTAATTGATCAAAAGTAAATTTAGGAAATTCAAAATGTTTTTTGCTGATTTTTTTTATTGAGTATAATTAAGGATATTATATTAAATTAAATAAAACGCATAGGAATATTGGCACAAGAGGTGAAATATATTATTTTACGAATTCTAATATACCAGTATACAGTGTGTCCCCGTATCTGATTTCCAATAGGAAAAACTTTTTTAGACCTGATACAGCTAAACCAAGCACGGATTTGAAATCTACGACCAAAAATTATGTTTACATCTCCGAGCGTTTAGCTGTGATATTTCAAGAGTTAAAAATTTATCTACAGTGTAATTAATCAAGTTGAAAAAGAAAAGATCATACAATTAATTTGTTTTGTGTTCAAGAAGCCTTGGTTAATAAGCTGTTCTAGCACTGTATCAACATCTTTACGGTAAATTAATAATTTTAATATAATTAATCCAGTGGAGTCAAATCAAAGGATCTGGCAGGCCAAGCAATTACATTTTTTAAATATTAGTCTATTCGATGACTTTATTTGCGAAAATACTGCTCTATCGTACGAGCTATCGTACCTACTCGCTGAGCCGGGATATTTTTGACAGAAATAATTTAGTTTTTACTGGATACTAATCAAGGATTTAGAACTTTTGGACAATCTTTTACCGAGGATTCTAAAGTAAAATAACGATAGTAGCAATTGTTTTGTTAAAACTGCGGTAGTTTTTTGCTGTCATAAACGAAATGCCTCAATATTATTTCAATGCAGAATATGCTGACAATATTTATTTACGGGTATGGCAACGGTAATGGAAGAGCCGCTGAAAGAGATTATGATGGTTTTCTACACTACACCCAGTCATGAAAGTTTCCTGCACGTGATTCAGTTTATTAGGGATTATGAAAAATTCTCCTCTGCTGGAAGAAGAGATAACGTACTAAGAGAAATGCATGAATATCGGGTGTGTTTTTTGATTGTTCTGTTTTGATGTATCTCGGTACAATATCATGAATTTATTCTTATAAGCGGAAAACATTACTTAAGTGATCCAACATAGTCCACGATTAAGTACCAGAAGGATTAGCGCTGTAGTGCAGCCCATCCATCCTTATCACATCCGACAGAACCAGAATTCACCCTGTAATTTTGAAACCGAGGACCTGAGAAAATTTTTAAAGGCAGATATCTGCCTTTAAAAATTTTCTCAGGTCCTCGGTTTCAAAATTACAAATTACAAATTAGTATATACTGATTCGCCTTAAAAAACGCTGCCTGCCATTACTCTCTGTCGATCTTAAAACACCCTGTATAATTTTAGGTAACTAATTTATTTATTTTAAATATACCTAGGTAACTAACATCATAATATCTATGGCATAAAATAGAGAAGAACTAGGTTCTCTTGATGATTAAAGTGAGGCTCTTTACTTTAAACGTTTTAAACGTTTTAAAAAACGATACTATCTAAGCTATATAATATAGTCTTAATCTTAATACGATATTAATTACATGCATAATATGCATTGCATATACTATGCTTAAAGATACTTAATATAGGCAACCTAAATAACACAAGAAACAAAACAAACCATACAATAACACGTAGGTACAGTTATATATTATAACTTATACTGCGATCAATTTATTTAAACAAAATACGTATAAACAAAATAAACTTTGTCTATAAGTACAGTAAGTCTACTTACATTTTTTTTGTGGCTCGCACTTAAAAACACTGATTAATAAAGTAAATAACATTAAATTGTTGGACTTGTCATTATCAGTTTAATAAACCGAGTTTAAAATCTAAAATTAGCTTTATAAAAACAGGTTATTATTGTGTTGTTAAAATGAAATTAAGTATACCTACTATTAATAAAAAAAGTGTCACTTGCCTTTGTATTGAAACCATATGTAGGGATCACTATTAGGAAAGGGTATTTACCGCTTTAGCAATAAACTATTTGTTGGGACTATTCATGAAATGCATTTTACACAAAACGCGTACGAATGAAATTATTTTTAAAACCTTTAAATAAATTTATCTTAAGATAATACTAAGTAAATACCAATAGATTTGGTAGAATTTTGAGTAGGGTGGGGAGGGGTCAACCCACATTCCTCACCCCAGGTCAAGAACGACTTGAGATGGTAAGATTACACCCTAAATACGACTTACTATATTTATAAAAATAGCCTACTATTATTATTATATTTATTTATAAATTTAGACTATGTTTGTGTTAAGATAATTATAACACACATTCTATAGATATATCAATGCACATTTGATAGAATGGGGTGTTTGCATTACTTTAAATTAATAATAATAATAATTATTATAATTATGGTGTTTAATAATAGGGATTTAATCACTTATTAAAACAAAAAATAGTCTTAAGGCTCCTACCAATAATTATTGGTTCATTTTAAAAGGGAAATATATTCAGTGACATTCAATAAGTAGGTACCTATAACTTCTTATCTTATAAGCCAAAAACGAAAAAATACCAGCATTTCTTAAGTAATAAATTTTAGTATAAAATGTTATAGTTTAGGGAAATTGGTTTCCCTAAATACTCTTGTTTCACTAAACAAGAAAACATTATAAAAGTAGGTACCTTTAGGTATACAATACCTAGGAGGAATACAACTTTTTTTTTAAAGGGAAATATATACAGTGACATTCAATAAGTAGGTACCTATAACTTATTATCTTATCTTATAAGCCAAAAACGAAAAAATACCAGCATTTCTTAAGTAATAAATTGACTAAACTGCGCACCACTCAATGTGTCGCGACCAAAAAGTTCGTTCTTTTTCAAAACGACATAACTTTTTTGTTTCTTGAACGACTTTATTTTGGTCTGTGATGTCTGCTATATATAAAGCACACGGTTCGGCAAGTAAATTTCCTACAGGGTGATATGTTAAACGATGAAAAATTTCAATAACTTCATCCAAGCCCCTTTTGTAAATAAAATTATATAGTATTATGTGTTACCTTGAAACGTTTTTCAAGTTATTCGAATTGGAATCTTAGCAACGACGATATGATTTTTTTTCGGATTTTATTTAGACATTTAACAGCCGGGAATTGTTTTCGAATTTTGATTCTTGGTGATTTTGGTTTTATCTGAAACTTAAATTTGACAACTGAATCACAATCAGGAGGTCAAAATTATGAAGAAAACATGTCACTAAAGTAAATATCGGTTCAGGTTTAGTTTTCGCAAATTTTTACCAAAATGTCATTTTGAAAAAGTGGTCTTTACTTAGGCTCCTTTGAAAATAATGGAAGTTTGTTGCTTGTCGCTTGTTCAGAATTATCCAAGGAAGAATCTTTAACCATCTTATTTTCTTGTTTTGTAAAAAAAATCAGATTTTCGTTGCTAAGATTCCAATTCGAAAAATTTGAAATCCTTTTCAAGGTAAGACATACTTCTTCATTATTTTAAAGTAAAAACGAGAAAAAATATTTCTTTTTTCAAACGGGGATTGGATGAAGTTATTGAAATTTTTCACCGTTTTACATATCACCCTGTAGGAAATTTTCTTGAAGAACCGTTGGCTTAATATCTATAGCATGAATTGCCAAAGGATGGGGTTAGCAGACATCACAAACCAAAATAAAATCGTTTAAGAAACAAAAAAGTTATGTCGTTTTGAAAAAGGACGAACTTTTTGGTCGCGACACATTGAGTGGTGCGCAGTTTATTTGACGGTCCAATTTTAGTATAAAATGTTATAGTTTAGGGAAATTGCTTTGGGGCCGTCCATAAATGATGTCACACACTTAGGGGGGAGGGGGGGTCGTCGAAAATGTGACAGTTTGTGACAGCCGGGGGTGGGGGGGTTTGGTAGGTTGTGATGTCACTAAATTATAAAAATATTTTGGAATTTAATAATTAATAATGGTTATAAACTGGATAATAAGATTTTATTTTAAGCAAAAATTTCTTGGGGTAGACCTTACATAAAAATTAAATCAGTGTGACGTGACGCCAATGGGGAGGGGGAGGGTCCCATAATTTGTGACACTTTGTGACAAGTGGGGGAGGGGGGGTCAAAAATATTAAAAAAACGTGTGACATCATTTATGGACGGCCCCTTTCCCTAAATACTCTTGTTTCACTAAACAAGAAAACATTATAAAAGTAGGTACATATAGGTATACAATACCTATAGGAATACAATTTTTTTTTAAATAGTCGATGTTATAATAATACCGCATAATATGAATAACACATATTACATATAATATATTATATTTTATCGGTAATAGGTCGCACATAATATATGCATATAAGTTTCCCAAGCAGCTGCTAAAATGTATGAACATTTTATATCTGGTTCTCAAGTCTTGAGGCTTAAGAGCCCCAAGTTCCTTTTTTAGTAAAAACCACCCTCAAGCTTTTGTTCTGCTTGGCGCCACGCATTTAGGCCTTGCGTATAGAGCCCTGCACGGGCAGAATTTTTCAGGCCCGGTCCGGCCCGGGCTATGAAATCAGTCACTATAGCCCGGTCCGGCCCGGCCCAGCCCGGCCCGGTCAATAAATTATTAGGCCCGGCCCGGACCGGTTCTATTTTATATAGACCGGCCAATAAATAACAATTTTTAGCCCTAATAAAGCTAAAAAACGCGTTGTGATTTTTTAAGCTGTTTTATTTATGTAAATGTTAAGAAAAAAATTTAAATGTACATAATTATTTATTTATAATAAATAAAAAACGTTTCAAACTTTACATACAATGTATGTTATACATACATATGTATACATATGTATACATATGTATAACATACATTGTATGTAAAGTTTGAAACGTTTTTTATTTATTATAAATAAATAATTATGTACATTTAAATTTTTTTCTTAACATTTACATAAATAAAACAGCTTAAAAAATCACAACGCGTTTTTTAGCTTTATTAGGGCTAAAAATTGTTATTTATTGGCCGGTCTATATAAAATAGAACCGGTCCGGGCCGGGCCTAATAATTTATTGACCGGGCCGGGCTGGGCCGGGCCGGACCGGGCTATAGTGACTGATTTCATAGCCCGGGCCGGACCGGGCCTGAAAAATTCTGCCCGTGCAGGGCTCTATACGCAAGGCCTAAATGCGTGGCGCCAAGCAGAACAAAAGCTTGAGGGTGGTTTTTACTAAAAAAGGAACTTGGGGCTCTTAAGCCTCAAGACTTGAGAACCAGATATAAAATGTTCATACATTTTAGCAGCTGCTTGGGAAACTTATATGCATATATTATGTGCGACCTATTACCGATAAAATATAATGTATAAAAGAAGAAAAACTTTACAAATTGCGATCTACCTTCTTTACTATTATAATAATATTATAGTGTATAGAATAATTATATATTATAATAATATAATATAATATAAATCATATATAATAATTATATTTTATTATTAATAATAATAATAATATATCATTATATTGATATCCTTATTTAGGGGAAATTCCTAAATCGACAGACAAATACAGCGCCTTTGCGTAGAATGTCTAGATGGCCTGGAAACTTGCAAGTTTCTACTTGCGTATGCTATAAATTTAGAGTATACAAAATTTGTAACTTGTAAACCCTAAATAATATTGAACAGAAATACAAAATATATTATATTTATGGGTGATTCTACAAAAGTTGGGCAACTTTTGACCTCATTTTGTTTATATAGTTTTCGGAGAAAATTAAACAGTATTTTGTTATGAGAACATAGATAATATAATAAATATACTGTTACAGACCGGGCCAGTCACTTTTTCAAACGGTTTCTGAAATACCTGTGTTTTCTAAATATGAATGCATGCATGCATGCATGCATCCCTTGCAAGGGAAATGATGAGTATACCAGGGTACTAATTAAATACATAATTTATTGTAAAATATAAGATTTATTGCAACTTTGAGCATATTATAAATTAAATATCTTAAAATCAAATAATACCACACATCAGTGGCGGCTGGTGGATTTTGGGTATACCGATATCTCAATTATTAGATATGGGACCCACACCAAATTTATATGAGTTTATAATGACATTCAATAAACAGGTTCTGGGCAAGCAGAATTTAATTTAAAGTTTGCGAAAAAAAGATATCCAAAACATCGAACATGGAACTGACGACACGGTAATGAATGGGATACAAATTTGAGATTATAATTCGGAATTAAGTATTTTACTGATATTTTTTATTAGTGGATGCTACTTATCAACAAATCACATAATATGTTATAGCCTTATATAAATTACAATGAAATATATATACGTAAGAAAATAACTACTCCCCACAGTACTGGAACTATACGTGCATTCACCACAACTTCGCCGCTTGCATTGTTTTCAAGATGACTGTTGTGCAAAGGGCGGACTGTGTAGGTAATTTAAGTTAAAACGAGGACTTGACGTTTAAACTTCAATATTTCGCAGGAATTTTGAATTTTAACATTGGACACAGAACTGACGGGTAAAAGTGAGTACAAAGATTATCAATTTGTAGTGAAATTGAAAAATTTAAGATAAATTGAATATATTTTAAAATTCAGGAGTTGTGACACGCCAAAAACATAATAAATATTCAAAAGATCAGTACCTTAAGGTACTGATCTTTTGAATATTTATTATGTTTTTCTACAAACGTGCTTTTGAAAAAAGACATTAAAATTGGGTGGACAAGTTAAAAAAACCTGGATCTTTTCTAATATACTAAAATATTTACAAAAAATATTAAAAATACCTAGTCTATTGACTATCAACTTTTGTTGAATCACCCTTATATTAGAATTTTATTTTAAGTAGGTACAAACATAATACTAATTAATACTAATACTATGGAACGCCAAGTATTTTTTAATCGTCAATTAAAAATATCACATTTGAATTTCCGATATCACAAATTCAATTTCTGATATCACAAATTCAATTTCTGATATCAAAAATTAATTTGCGATATCGAAAATTAATTTTTGATATCACAAATTAATTTTCGATATCGCAAATTAATTTCTGATTTCAATAATTAATTTGCGATATCGAAAATGTCTTAAAAAAATTTACAACTTATTAAATAAAAATATATTTTTTCTAATCCATATTATTTGTAATTCAAACAATTAAGAAATAACATTAAACTTTTAAGTTTATTCAAATTATTTATCCGGGTATATAATTAAATTGTAAACATTTTTCAGTTGATAATTTATCTGAATTCTTAAGTAAGCCTA